ATCACAATCTGCAATCGAGCAACGAAAACTATACCAATTATCTGTCAACAAATTATACAACTCAAAACCTTCTCATCAAGTTATTATCAGCATCAATTTCTGTTCCCTATTTTCTTACCATCCAAGCAGGCAATCAACAAACTAAAGACTAGACTCCTTCCGAACTAGATCTATTTCATAGACTGTGGTATAAACACCAGTCCTATGATCTAACATGGCCAGACACGGATAAAGCAAATCCAATTGAATTAAACTATTTCAGTGCGTAAATCAACCTCAGATCCAATAATCACAAGAAAAAAACAACAAAAAACCTATATCCAAAAGTAGAACGCAATCAACCTATAGATTACAACAAAAAAATTGAAAAAAAGAAAATAACCTAAAAGGAAGAAGAATACTAGCCAAACCTTGTCAAAAATGGCATAAAAGGAGCCGCATCAAGCACTCCCTGACTTCTTCGATAATAGAAAGAGAGAAATGTAAATATACAGGACTTGCAAGACTCTTTGGATCTAGAAAAAGTGAAAACGAGAGAGAAGCAAAATAATAAAGAGGGGAAACAGAGAGAAAGGGAGAGAAAACTAACTGATCACAAGAGAAGAGAGGGGAGGTGAACAGAGGGAGTGGAGAATAGGTAATCGTGTCAGTCACGAATGAGATCGCGACACGTGTCTTGAGGGTAAATCTAGAATATCTGACTTTTCTTTTGGTTCGCAATGTCATCGCTGGAGTCAAGCCACGTGGCAGCCCTACTTGCATTGGATCATGTTGATCAAAGTGGGTCCCGATGCCATTAAGATAATGACAACCGCCGGATTAGATCTTTCCACGTATTATGATCCGAATGGTTTGCAGGACTCTTGTTGAACGGCCCAGATTCTAGATCTAAAAAACGGGTTGGACGTTTCGCATCAACTACTCCGAGGCTAAAATTGTAAAATCATTCAGCCGGGTCCCGGGTCCCGGGTCCTTGCGCAACCAAACTTGGGTTGGACTACCCGAAAGCCCATTTCTGTACCCGACGATAAATTTGGGTTTGAACCCGAATTAAAACCCAAGACCCGAATGCAGTCTTCTTCTGCTCCGAATCCCTGCTCCCGTGAAATTGTCTTCGTCTTCCTCTACCCCTAAAACCCTCTCTTTTCTCCCTATGTGCAGCAATGTTATCCTTACAACTGCTATCTGCAAACCCTAAACCCTCATTTATTCAAGTTTCAACCCCATCTAAAACCTTTTACCATAAACCCCTAAAACCCCATCTAAGATTCAAATCCAAACCCCGCAAATCCGGCGTCGTACGGTCAGTCTTACAGTGGAACAGGAAGCCGGAGCTCGCCGGAGAGACCCCGCGTGTAGTCGTGATCACCTCCGGGAAAGGTGGGGTGGGTAAGACCACAACCACCGCGAACGTCGGGCTCTCTTTAGCTCGGCTTGGTTTCTCTGTAGTAGCCATTGACGCCGACGTCGGGCTCCGCAACCTAGACCTACTTCTCGGCCTCGAAAACCGCGTTAACTATACAGTGGTCGAGGTTCTAAATGGCGACTGCCGGCTTGATCAGGCCCTCGTACGGGATAAGCGGTGGTCCAATTTCGAGCTGCTTTGTATCTCCAAACCCAGATCGAAGCTTCCCATTGGGTTCGGCGGGAAGGCGCTGGTCTGGTTGGTGGATGCTTTGAAAGCTAGGCAAGAGGGCTCACCTGACTTCATTATCATTGATTGCCCAGCCGGGATCGACGCTGGGTTCATCACCGCTATCACCCCCGCCAACGAGGCGGTTCTCGTGACCACGCCGGACATCACCAGCTTGCGAGATGCTGATAGGGTGACAGGCTTGTTGGAATGCGATGGTATTAGGGATATAAAGATGATTGTGAACAGAGTAAGGACTGATATGATAAAGGGGGAGGATATGATGTCAGTGCTCGATGTTCAAGAAATGCTGGGTTTGGCTTTGTTAGGAGTGATCCCAGAGGACTCAGAGGTGATCAGGAGCACGAACAGAGGCTACCCACTTGTGTTAAACAAGCCGCCGACGCTTGCCGGGTTGGCTTTCGAGCAGGCGGCGTGGAGGCTCGTCGAGCAGGATAGTATGAAGGCTGTAATGATGGAGGAGGAGCCTAAAAAGCGAGGATTCTTCTCCTTTTTCGGCGGCTAGATGTTGAAGACGATATCATGCGTCTTTGAGAAGGAGCTGTGTACAGTGATTGGTAAAGTTTGGTTTTTTCTTTTCAATGGAGATGATGATTGATTCCACTACTTTCCTTTTTGAGTTAGGCAAGTAGAATTTAGTGCCATTTTTAGTTGGTGTGCTGTGTTAGCTGTATCTTGGCTAATGAAGGTCAAGCTTTTGGATGGTTATAGTTGATGCATCAAGATTCAATTTTTACATCTGGTTAGAGCGAAGCACAGAGCTTCTCGTGTCTTATGAGTTTGTTTAGATTGTTCTTGTTAGAATCGCTTTAGGAAATGTTGGAAATTGTTTTTCTCCTTTCCTATTTGGCTTCTATTATCTTGTTTTTTAGGATGTCCGCCAAGAATTTGATGTCTTTTTTCATTAAGGAGTAAGATTATTGGCAGTTCATTCATTGAAATATGTTGAGATGAGATTGCATTTATCCCGCGGTGGGAGTAGAATGATTACAATCAGTCTGATCAATAGTTTATTCTTATGATTATTAGCAGAAAAATTTGGGTTGAATAGATCGTATAACCACATTTCTTTCCGAAATATCATGTTTTCGAATGTTCTAACCAAGTCGGGGAAAACATTCTTTGTAGTTTCTTCATTGAATGCATTAAGATGAGATTGAATGGCAAGAATGGATTTAATCAGTGCTACCAGTATTTTATTGGGATTTTTAAGGGGAATATACTTCGATTTCTCATCAGAACATCGAGGAGAGAAACTACTCAACCTGAAAATTTAACGATTTTGAGGAAACAGAAACACAAAGAACAAGAAGTAATTTCAGAATTACAAACAAAAGCTCGCCTGTTTAAGGGCAAGAGCAGACAAGCTGACAGCCTCCGATACCAACAAGTGAATCTGTCGTCGTGATTCCTAAAAACCACGAAGCAATCTTGCTGATCTCTACCGTCTGCAAATGTTTTCGAAAATAATAGTCATTCTCCAAATGTTGAAATGGAGTTATCTATTCGGATGCTAATAATCTCACTCTGAAGAATCGGAAGTTGGCTTTCAGTTTCCGGTTTGTCTCGAGGAAGTTAGCCGGAAAGTGATGCAATTTGGCCGGAGATAGGAGCATGAAGTCCATGTTTCATGTCTGATTTTCCCGGGAAGAGGGCCTCTAAGTTGGTCTCAAACTGAGGTTAGAAAAATTTATACCTTGGGCTTATATATGGGCTTTTTATACACTTAACCCTGTTGGGCTTTTTGTTTTGGCCCATTAAAATAATAATTGAGCTTTTATATATATATATGTATATATATATATATATTATAATATAGGCATCACAATTTGGTTTTACACTGTCAAACTCCTGACTAAACCTCTTTAAATTAAGCAAAAATAAAATTATGTTCTCAATGATTATATATTTTAATTTCAAGTTATAATTTATCATATAATTTCATATACTTACAAAAGTTAACAAAATTAGATGTGTATATATATATATATGTGTGTGAGTGTATAAATTAAACTTTTTATAATTGAATGTATAGAACACTTTGAGTATATGAGATTTAAGTCACTTCCCTTCAATTAGTTCGAATTTAATTTAATATAATATAATTTTTTTTATTAAATTATATTTTCGACCGAATCAAGACATCCGTAAATTCTACTACTCATTTTCTATTGACTTTAGTATCAAAGTTACAATACTAAAAAAATCTCATTACCTAATTCTACTGCTTCTTTACTCGTAGATATTTCGAGAAAAAAAGACATCTTCGAAAATAACACACTTAACGTATAACATGATCTCTTTTTAAAAGGTTAAATTAAATTAGTGTAAATAATTAGAAAATATTCAATTATGAAATCCACGCTTGCGAGTTCATCAATTGTAGGACCAAATATTTTAACACACCGAAGGACGAAATAGTGGGAGACAAGTTATAAGACCAGCAAAGTTTAACCACCAAGTTCGGGATAGATTAGTGTTTTTCCTCTACGCCTAGGACACCAAAATATCGAACCATGAACGAAGAAAGGCATGCGAGAAAAGCATATTGGCTAGTGATTGTGAGGCTCCAATTCTTGACTAGAGGGGACACCAAAGGCCTCCGCCCTTCCATCTCTTGGATAAATAGAGATGGAGGGCAGAGCTTTTGGTTTTTTCATGTTGTCAAAGAATTGAACAATGAAAATAGATGGCGAGTGTTTGATCGAATTGATCGGGTCAGACCATCAAAATTTAACTTATAAAATATCAAAATATTAAAATACAACATATTTATTGAAAAAAAAAAGAAATTGATGTACGAACTTTCTGACAAATCAAGCATTTAGCCGACTCCCTGACCTATATTATCTACAGTATCATCTTACAAATATCCTGAACATCATTAAAGAGAATCTCACGCGAGTGAGTCAGTCTTACGATACCTAATAATTAGATGTTTTTGTTATATTTTTCGATTCTTTTATATATATATATATATATATATAAATTAATGACTGGAGTGATGTACTTTTTTATAAAATCTTATTATAAAATATTAACTGCATTTGAGATATGTCTTTCCACTACTAATCTATTGGACGGTGCAAATAAATCTGCTGCCAACATTTGTCACACATTCGTGTTCATTGTTCAACGCCAAACAGTGAGACCATTAAAAAGATTATTGTTTTTTTATATTATATTATATTATATTATTAAATTAAGAAAGAAAGAATTGTATTCACATTATATATTGTGTACGTATATAATTTATCATTAGCAAATTTCACTGCTTATATATATATATATATTGTAATTGCTTGAATGGCTCTCCCACGTCATTGTTTCCTTGTGTGCGTGTATGACTACTCTATGACTATTATACTCAATACATACATACGCACGTGACATCGACTTGGGAGAGTCCTCCAAGCAATTATAATATATATATATATATTAATTTTTTTAGTTTAATGTAATATATATTTAATTTTATATTAAATATGTTGAATTTAATCATGTGGGTTAACTTAACCCAATTAGCATTACCCTCTTAATTAAAATTTAAAATCAAAATTACAATTAATTATTACATTTAAGAGAAGTTATACAAAAGAAAAAAAAATAAACTCTCTCAAAAAGTTGTAAAATTTGAATTTTTACAAAAAATATATATTGATTTTGAAAAATTAGTTATATACTAATTTTATAATTTTTTAATAAAATAATTATTTAATGTTAAAAATTTTGAAAAACCCTTGGACTAAAATCTATTTGTTATATATTAGATAGATATATATATATATAAAATAGTCATGTACATTAATTACCATTATGTATATAATATTATATATATATGTATTTGTTACGTAGAAAGAGTGCATACCCTATGAATATATATATATATATATATATATATATTGTGTGTGTGTAGATGCATAAAAGCACTTTTTTTAGGTTAACGTCAACATCAAATAATATTGCACAATTAGTTAAGAATACAAATTCATTTTGACTTTGATTCTAAAGCATTAGAAAGTGTATATAATATAAGCTCGTGGAAGTTAGTTATATAGCTATTTATATATTTATATATATATAGATATATATATAGATATAGAGACAACAGTAACATGCTACGTGGTTGTTCAAAATCTTCGAATTCCCACTAAAAGCAATATTACCTAAGCGGACCCTATTAGTCTTTTGGATTAAAAAAGTAAGTGCACGAACCACTCAATGAATTTTGGAACTTTATTTATACCTCTTTATATATATATATATATAGAATGTGATAAATTTAAATTGAATTGTATTATAATATATATATTATTTAATAAATGAGTATAAATTTATTAAATAAATAAATTTTAATAATTGGTATTAATTAAAAAATTAATCATGTGGGCTACCTAATTATATTATAATAAATGTATGTAAATTATATATAATGTGTAATTAAACATACCCACCATACTTTTCTTGATATTTTCGTGGGACAAAATGTTGACTTTATTTAATTCGGTCAAATATATATTGTTTTGATATAATATGATCTTACGCGTTCAAATGAAATTGCATTATTACATTGCCGTCAAAATCATTAGTCACATTTAATTCGTTTATGTTTTTTGTTTGTATCTTTTGATGTACGCACTAATTATGTTTTACGTGCTTAAATATATAACTGATTTTCGTATTATTTTTAAAATATTTAAATTAATTTTTATATTATTATTTTATTTTTTAAATTTTTTAAAAAATTTTTGTATTAACGACTGTTCGTTAAATATAGTAAATTTATTATAATTCTAAGTAGTTAAATCTTTTCATTAAATCGTGACGTATAAAAATAATTTAACTTTTTTCTTTGGTACAAAGGGAGAAAAAGTACAATAAAATCGAAAAGAAAAAACGTTTAGGTACTACGCATCTTAGGTTAGGAGACTCCGATGAGATATTCTTTAATGAAATTTGTTAAGTTGAAGGTATTATACGTGATGTAAGTCAATGGGCCAGTCAAAAGTTTGATTTGTTAAGTATTTCGTACGCCTATTACTTTAACGATAGATATATTGTATACTGATAGTTCAGTATTTAATGAATTAAATTTTTATAGTTATGATAAAATTGAAGTTTGCATTGACCGAGATCACTTCATTATTAAGGACTCGGTCGACGAGAGTACTATCCGTCTAAAAAATAACTTGGAGCGAGCCCAGATCCCAAAACTAACTAGTAATTTAACTTTTTAGTTACTTTATTTTCAAACACGAAAATTTATCTAACAAAAAATACGTTTAGTATGTTGTCACGTAATAAATTTACTACCGACATTGACAACACATAATAAACACGAATTAGTATGATTGTTTTATCAAAGTAGAGAAATTAGAAAAGAGCCAAATTTAATACGCTCAAAAATTTTATTTCAAAGTTTTGTTTTTAAATGGGATAATACAAAAAATCCCCACAGGCATGTGCTGTAAAGCTTTCCACATATATATATATATTATATTAATATTTTTTCCTTTATAATTTTTACCCATGAGAAAAAGAGTAAAATAAAATTAAAAAATAATTATCAGAATTTCTTATTAAATTTTAATTGACACTATTTTTTTTTTCTTCTTCTACAGTGCATATTATTGATTCTCATGAACCCTTATATGACTTCCTCCTCCTGTTTATCTCCTTCTCCAGCTCTTCTTTTCCTCCCACATCTTCAACTTCCTGTTCCCCACCCAAAAAAAAAATATATATATTATTTATTTTAATTAAATAAAAATTATTTACTTTAATTATATTTAATTATATTTAATCAAATATTTAGAAATAACTTGCCTTGGGTCCAAGAAACAGCCCATACGGGACGCCGTTGAATTTATCAGAGTGATGAAGCTGAAACCAAACAGCAGAATCAGAGAAGATCACGGCCGTCAGGCCTTTGTCGGAAGATAAATAATTAAAAAATCCTTAAAGTTCGCTAAATAATATTAGTTATTTTTTTAAAAAATAAAATATATTATTTACTCAAATTTATTTAAGCGCTCGTAAAAAATAATTAATTTAATCAACTACAATTTTAATTTAATTAATCTACCTTACTGTAACTAATCTACCACACCATTTATCGCGTACCTGGTGAGCTGCAGCGACTCGCCTGAAATAAGGCACGTTGGCGATGGGTCCCACCGGGAATCTCTTGTGAACCAGTCCATCGTGGACAAACATGTAGGCCATTCCAAACACAGTAATGCCGAGGCCCTGTTGCAATTACGAGATGATCGTGGGGGTAATTTAGTCACTTCGCATAATAAAGAAAGATTAAGTTTAATTATTAATTTAGAAAAGGATAATAAAGAATGATTAAATCATTAACCGTTAATTAAGCGGTTAATATAAAATTCATAAAAAAAGGAGAATAAGAGACTTACAGCGCCGAAACAGAGGCCGGGAACGAGGCCTTTGTTGAAGAAGCCGTAGGAGAGAAGAGCGATAGCAGGAACTGCGTTGGTTATGGCGAAAACATCGTTTAACTCGAATGGACCTTCTCTTGGTCTATGGTGAGACTGTATTTTTTGTTTTAGAAAAATAGAAACCAGTGAGTTCGTGAAGAAGAAGAAGAAGGGAAGAGGTCTTAAGAAACAAAAAAAAAAAATGGCGACGGAAAGTCTGAAATATCTTCCAACAACTACAGGCTCCTTTTGAGAAGAAAATAAATTAGGTAGAACTGCATTTGGTGAAAGAGAAGAAGACGAAAGCAATTGGGTGACTGGTTTAGAAAACAACTCATGTGACGGAGTTGACTTACTGCTCCGACTGGGAAGTGAAAAGCTCTGAATAAATAAAAACGGCACTAGAATATTTTCAACTGATACAGGCACTTTTCACAGTCTAAAAAACGGATAGAATTTAGAGAAGAAGAAAGAAAAAGTTAATTGGGTAAACTCGTGGGTACCTCGTGCATATGCCACAAAGAAGCGTGCCAGAGAGCTCTGTGCGCCCACCTCGCCCAAAACTCCATACCCACCTGGAAATGAAAGCCACCCAATTAAAATTCAGCAGTCTAATCGACGAAACAACGACGTTTCCAGCATAATTAAGAAAAAATCATGGAGGAATATTGAACTTACAGCGGCACCAACGGAGAGAGCAAATGTACCGAACATTTCAGAGAAAGGCACCTCTCCACCTGCACACCCAGAGAATTGAACATGTAGTAAATTTCACACTGTGAGAAAACTGAGATAAATTGGCGATAAAGAAAAAATTATACCTCCATTTGCCAAGCGAATCTGTAATAAACTGCCATAACAGCCATGGAAGTAATCCCGAAGCTCGACATCACAGCGGCGACCAAGTAAGTAAACCTCTCGGATCTCTTCCTGGCGAGTTTCTCCGCCATCTTCGACGCTAAGATCTGCTCCAACTCTACATCTTTGCTCGACAGCTCTTCGGCTTGATTCTCGATCTGGGCAATCTGCTTCTGTTCCTCCAACACGAAGCAGACGGCGAAGGTCGTCCTCTTATGGGGTCTAAAGATTCCCCTGTTTAAACCTCGCGAGAGAGGGGAGATAAGAGTTGGTTTCGGAGGAGGATAGGGTTGTGCGGAGTGGAATGAACCCAAGGATTTAAGGGTAATGGCGGCGGAGAGTCCGGCCGCCATAGAAGGAGCTTGAAGGAGAACTGTGACGAAAGGTTTCTACCCAACAAAAACCCACACAGAAAACACACAAAACAAACGCAAGAATTATCGACAGGCAGAGAGATAGAGATGGACGGTGGGGGCCGGGTATGGTCTCTAACCTAGGTTTGGAGCCTACTGAAGGAGAGAGTTTTTTTTTGTTTTTGGAGGAGTGGAGAGTTAAATGCACAGAGACCACATCTTCGTTCTCGATCAGTCTTGACTCCTTTTTAAGATGAAAACTAACCGTCTCTCAGAAATAGACTTAGGCATGGTCTTAAAAATTTGACATCGATATTGCCTTAAATTACAGTTGATGCCACTGAAATTATTGGCGCCACCCCCCGTATTACTATAATTTGTAATTAAAACTACTAATAAAGTGGATAATAATTTAAATAATTCTAAAATGATAAATGAAAAAAAATTTAATTAAAAAATTACATAATATTACCATACAATTAAATGGATAATACACACGAATTAAATTAATTATAATTTAATTATAATTTTTTTATAACGAGAAAATAGAAATGTGAATTATTAAAATGGTATGACCAATTTCAACTCCTATCCGCCTACCCTTTCGTTTTCAATGTAACGGCCGCGGAAATTTAAAATGAAATATGTGTATTAAAAGGTCAAATGCGGAAGCGTAATAAAAATTTTGATTAAACATCCCTTATACTAAAACCAAAAACGTGCTCAAAGTATAAAAAAACAAATTAACTAAAAGAGAAACTCGAAAATAAAAGCTATAAATATGACTACGGAGTCTTCAGGCGTCCCCTTCGCCGTCTTCCTGCGGAACGGGCTCGGGAACAATGTCTTCCTAATCTGAAATGATTAAATAAGGAATGAGCTACACCAGCCCAGTAAAAACATCACACTATCTCACCGTCACGGAGGTAAAGGTGGGTAGAAAACACAAAAAGACCAATGGAGCATAGTTTACAACAAATTCTTTTATCAATAATAAAATCTTTTACTATCCACTTACCTCGGTGAAATTCATAAAACAATATACGAAAGCAATAACATTATCATCATCATGAAATCATAGGAACTGTATAACATAATACTTATCACGCCTTTTGCATCTCAATCATTTCACAACATATTTTTCCTTATTTACCAGCCTACTAGTATCCATGGGGATCCATAGGGGTCCCGCTACCCGTGAACCCTTAACACTTGTAATCATATTCCAGGGCCGTCCCCATACCCCGTCCGGTATGGGCGCCAAAACTATAAACCTCAGGGTGTCCGGTATGAGGGTGAAACGGGCCGTCCCCATACCCCGTCCGGTATGGGCGCCAAAACACATAGGGTCTCCATACCCCGTCCGGTATGAGAGACCACAATCCCGGTAGGGTTCCCTACGGACCCGGTCC